GTTTCAGTCCTGGTTCAGTCCTGGTTTAGTCCTGGTTCAGTCCTGGTTTCAGTCCTGGTTTCAGTCCTGGTTCAGTCCTGGTTTCAGTCCTGGTTCAGTCCTGTTCAGTCCATCCTGGTCCTTCAAGTCCTGGGTCAGTCCTGGTCCTGGTTTAGTCCTGGTTCAGTCCTGGTTTCAGTCCTGGTTCCTGTTTGGTTCCTGGTTTTCAGTCCTGGTAGTCCTGGTTCAGTCCTGGTTCAGTCCTGGTTCAGTCCAGTCCTGGTCTCCTCTCGTTGCTGCAGAGATAAAGGAGCAGCAGAGCCGTCAGTTCTTTGTGACTCGGTTTACCGTGGGTCCGGCCTGGTTCCTTCGGGCCGGAGACTCTGTGACGTTTTTCTGTGAAGTGAAAAAAGACGATCACCAGAACAGCCAGAAGAACCAACTGCAACTGCTGCACACGCACATGGACTCCTCCAACATCACGGTAAAACCTGGTCCAGTCCTGGTTCAGTCATGGTTCAGTCCTGGTTTAGACCTGGTTTAGTCCTGGTTTTCCTGGTTAGTCTGGTTTAGTCCTGGTTTAGTCCTGGGTTAGTCCTGGTTCTGTTTAGTCCTGGTTTAGTCCTGGTTTAGACCTGGTTTGGACCTGGTTTAGTCCCTGGGTTAGTCCTGGTTTAGTCCTGGTTGTCCTGGTTTAGTCCTGGTTTAACCTGGTTTAGTCCTGGTTTAGTCCTGGTTTAGTCCTGGTTTAGACCTGGTTTAGTCCTGGTTTAGTCCTGGTTTAGACCTGGTTTAGTCCTGGTTTAGTCCTGGTTTAGTCCTGGTTTAGTCCTTTAGTCCTGGTTTTAGTCCTGGTTTAGTCCTGGTTTAGTCCTGGTTTTAGTCCTACCTGGTTAGTCCTGGTTTAGTCCTGGTTCAGTACTGGTTTAGACCTGGTTCAGTCCTGGTTTAGACCTGGTTCAGCCCTGGTTTAGTCCCTGGTTTTAGACCTGGTTTAGTCCTGGTTTAGGTTTAGTCCTGGGTTAGTCCTGGTTTAGTCCTAGGGTTAGTCCTGGGTTAGTCCTGGTTAGTCCTGGTTTAGTCCTGGGTTAGTCCTGGTTTAGAGTCCTGGTTTAGTCCTGGTTAGTCCTGGGTTTTAGTCCTGGGTTAGTCCTGGGGTGGGTTAGTCCTGGTTTAGACCTGGTTTAGTCCTCGTTTTTAGACCTGGGTTTAGTCCTGGTTTAGACCTGGTTTAGTCCTGGTTTAGACCTGGTTTAGACCTGGTTTAGTCCTGGTTCAGCGTGTCTTGCTCGTGGGCTGTGGGGATTGAACCTGTGGTGTTCTGTCTGGGTCCAGGTGGTCTTGAGCCAACCCGCCACTCGTCCTATAAACTTCACCGTGGACTCGGTTTCCCATGAGCACCGGGGAGTGTGGACGTGCTGGGACGACGGGGCGGAGCCTCGGGTGCTAAACCTGCCCTGGCATCACTTCCTGTTGGTCCAAGGTCAGGGTCAAAGGTCACGGAAACACCGGGTCAGACGGGTTCTAGAAATGTTCCACGTTCTTTTTTGATTCAGACGACTCGGCTCCGGTCGCCGCGGTAACCATCGACGTCCTGAGCCACAACAGAACCCAGTTCCTCCACAACGAGCTGATGACGGTGGGCTGCAGACTGCCCCAGGGCGAGTACGACCGCTGGAGACTCATGAGGTCTGGATGTAGACCTGGTTTAGACCTGGTTTAGACCTGGTTTAGACCTGATTTAGTCCTGGTTTAGACCTGGTTTAGACCTGGTTTAGACCTGATTTAGTCCTGGTTTAGTCCTAGTTTAGACCTGGTTTGTACCTGATTTAGTCCTGGTTTAGACCTGGTTTAGACCTGGTTTGTACCTGATTTAGTCCTGGTTTAGACCTGGTTTAGACCTGGTTTAGTCCTGGTTTAGTCCTGGTTTAGACCTGGTTTAGTTCCTGGTTTAGTCCTGGTAGACCTGGTTTAGGTTAGTCCTGGTTTAGACCTGGTTTAGTCCTGGTTTCCTGGTTTAGACCTGGTTAGTCCTGGGTTTAGTCCTGGTTTAGACCTGGTTTAGACCTGGTTTAGTCCTGGTTTAGTCCTGGTTTAGACCTGGGTTAGTCCTGGTTTAGTCCTGGTTTAGACCTGGTTTAGACCTGGTTTAGTCCTGGTTTAGTCCTGGTTTAGACCTGGTTTAGTCCTGGTTAGTCCTGGTTAGTCCTGGTTTAGACCTGGTTTGGACCTGATTTAGTCCTGGTTTCTCTCTATTCATGGGGCGTGTTTCTCTGGTGACGGGGTGGAGTCAGGTGTGATGTGGGCGTGTCTGTGTGACGGGGTCTGTGTGCAGGGTGTGTCTCTGTGTGTGACGGGGTCTGTGTGTCGGGGGCGTGTCTCTGTGTGTGACGGGGTCTGTGTGCAGGGTGTGTCTCTGTTTGACGGGGTCTGTGTGCAGGGCGTGTCTGTGTGACGGGGTCTGTGTGTCGGGGTCTGTGTGCAGGGTGTGTCTGTGTGATGGGGGTCTGTGTGCAGGGCGTGTCTCTGTGTGTCGGGGTCTGTGTGCAGGGCGTGTCTGTGTGTGTGACGGGGTCTGTGTGCAGGGCGTGTCTCTGTGTGTCGGGGTCTGTGTGCAGGGCGTGTCTGTGTGTGTGACGGGGTCTGTGTGTCGGGGGCGTGTCTGTGTGACGGGGTCTGTGTGTCGGGGGCGTGTCTGTGTGACGGGGTCTGTGTGCAGGGCGTGTCTCTGTGTTCGGGGTCTGTGTGCAGGCGTGTGTGACGGGTCTGGTGTCGGGCGTGTCTGTGTGACGGGGTCTGTGTGTCGGGGCGTGTCTGTGTGACGGGGTCTGTGTGCAGGGCGTGTCTGTGTGTGTGACGGGGTCTGTGTGTCGGGGGTGTGTCTGTGTGACTGGGTCTGTGTGCAGGGTGTGTCTGTGTGATGGGGTCTGTGTGCAGGGCGTGTTGTGTGTGACGGGGTCTGTGTGCAGGGCGTGTCTCTGTGTGTCGGGGTCTGTGTGCAGGGCGTGTCTGTGTGTCAGGGTCTGTGTGCAGGGCGTGTCTCTGTGTGTCGGGGTCTGTGTGCAGGGCGTGTCTCTGTGTGTCGGGGTCTGTGTGCAGGGCGTGTCTGTGTGTGTGACGAGGTCTGTGTGCAGGGCGTGTAAGTGGACGGGTATGGTGGACGTGTGCCCGGGGGCGCGTGTGTCGGGGGGCGTCCTGAGCTGTTCTCAGAGGATGGGGTTTCCCTGGAGCGACTGGCTCTTCTGGTGCCAGAACCACCTGAACCAACAGAGCAACGTCCTGAACATCAGCAACACCGGTACCAACACCACCACCTGCACCACCAACACCAACACCAACACCACCGCACCACCCGCAACACCCACCACACCACAACACCCACAGCACCCACACCAACACCACCACCCGCAACACCAACACCACCCGCACACTGCAACACCAACCACAACACCCACAACACACCGCACCACCTGCACCACCGACACCACCTGCACCACCAACACCACCCACAACACCTGCACCACCGACACCACCTGCACCACCACCACCCACCACTTGCACACCACCACACCCACAACCACCGACACCACCTGCACCACCAACCACCACCCACAAACACCTGCACACCAACACACCCACAACACCTCACCACCAACCTGCACCACCCAACACCACACCACAACCACCTGACACCACCGACACCACCTGCACCAACACCACCAACAACACCACACACCTGCAACCACCACAACACCTGCACCACCAACACCACCTGCACCACCAACACCACCCACAACACCTGCACCACCAACACCACCTGCACCACCAACACCACCCACAACACCGACACCATCCACAACACCACCAACACCACCAACACCACCCACAACACCGACCACCTGCACCACCGACAGCACCCGCAACACCGACAACACCCGCACCACCACCTGCACCTCCACCCGCAACACCTGCACCACCCACAACACCAACACCACCTGCACCACCCACAACACCCGCACCACCCACAACACCGACACCACCCATAACCACCGACACCACCCGCAACACCAACACTACCCACAACACCGACACCACCTGCAACACCACCAACACCACCCACAACACCGACAGTACCCGCAATACCACCAACACCAACACCCACAACACCGACACCACCCACACCACCAACACCACCCACAACACCCGACAACCACCGCAACAACCACCCACCACCACCAACCACCACACCACAACACAAACACCCGCACACACCCACAACACCGCCCACCCACCACCCACAACACCCGCACCACCTGCACCACCCACAACACCGACACCCACAGATCAACCACCACCCGCACCACCCGCACCACCCACACCACCACCACCCGTGTCAGTGACGTTGGCTGGTTCTTTCTCAGTGATCCACAGCGTCCTGGAAGCTCCGCCTCTTCCTGTGATGGAGGGCGATGACATCACTCTGCGCTGTTTAGAGAAAGACCAAAAAACGGGCGTCATCAGAGCGGCGCCGGCGTTTTACAAACACCGCGGACGAACCATCAGGTGAGTCCGGCCGAGTGTGGGTCAAACGCAGGTGTAGAGTCTGGGTCAAATGCAGGTGTAGAGTCTGGGTCAAATGCAGGTGTAGACTCTGAGGTGGGTCAAATGCAGGTGTAGAGTCTGGGTCAAATGCAGGTGTAGACTCTGGGTCAAATGCAGGTGAGTGCAGTAGAGTCTCAAAGGGTCTGGGTCAAATGCAGGTGTAGACTCTGGGGTGGGTCAAATGCAGGTGTAGTCAGTGGGTCAAATGCAGGTGTAGACTCTGGGTGGGTCAAATGCAGGTGTAGACTCTGGGTCAAATGCAGGTGTAGACTCTGGGGTGGGTCAAATGCAGGTGTAGAGTCTGGGTCAAATGCAGGTGTAGACTCTGGGTCAAATGCAGGTGTAGACTCTGAGGTGGGTCAAATGCAGGTGTAGAGTCTGGGTCAAATGCAGGTGTAGAGTCTGGGTCAAATGCAGGTGTAGACTCTGGGTCAAATGCAGGTGTAGACTCTGGGTCAAATGCAGGTGTGATGAGTGTGTGTTGTTTTCAGTTGGAGCACTGGGGAAAGTTTCACAGTGAAAAACGTGACTAAACTGGACGAGGGTTTGTACAGCTGCAGAGTGAAAAGTGACGTGACGACAGGAGAAAGTTACATCACTGTGACAGGTACAAAACACACACACACACACACACACACACACACACACACACACACACACACACACACACACACACACACACACACACACACACACACACACAGACGCACACACACACACACAATCACACACACAACACACACACACACACACACAGAGAAGAACAAAACACAGCTCTGTGTGTGAGGAGGAACATTAGAACATTAGAACATGACTTGAAGCTCTCTGAGTCGGTGTTGTGTGACACTTTAAACTTGTGTTTTGTGTTGTTGTGTTTGTGTTTCTGCAGCTCGGCCTCAGAAGAGCGACTAGAGCCTCCAGTCTGCAGCTCCACATCAAGTCAGGTCAAGTCAGGTCAAGTCAGGTCAAGTCAGATGAACTGACATAAATCAGATGAATGGTGTTAGAGTCGTGTCTCGTGTCGTGTTGTTCGTGTCTCAGGTTGAACTGGACTCACGTCTGACTCTGTAAAACTCATCATTTATATTTGAATCAGGTTTTATGACCAGATGAACCGTCTCCAGACGTTACACATTTACAACACTTAAATGTCATTGACCTACTGACTCCACATCCGGATTTTATGAGCCTTTTTTACTCAGGAGCCTCTTTCTCCATCCGTACTGATAAACGTGGACGATGCAGACTGTGAAAGAACGACTCCACACAAACGACCAGAAGTGCAAAATACTTCTGTGCTTTACAAAGGATAAAAATTAAAAGTTTTTTGGAGCATCACATGAAAAAGTGCTGTTGTTCTGCTGCTGTAAAACTGTTACACTGAACTTTATGTTTTGTTATGAAAAGTGGTGAACAAATAAAGTTAGTGTTTATATCATTTTCAGTCTTCAGTGTTAATTTACCACATCTGCAACATCCCAGACACACGACATGTGAAGGTCTCAAAAAAAAAAAAAAAAAAAAAGTCAGGATTGTACATTACTGCCCCATATGATCATTTTCCCCAAATATCAATTTTATTTGAGTGGATTTTAAGTTCAAATTACAGAATTATTGGATCCTGACGAAGACACTTAAAAATGAACAAGAAATGACACAAAGAATTCAGGTAGAAAACGTTTTTATGATTTACTCCCATGAGGCGCAGACAAAAACAGCAGAGAGCATTTCAAAAACTAAAGAAAAATAAATAAATAAATAAAAAAACTAGAGATTTTCAAAGGAGGTGTGAGGCTCAGAGCAGCAGAACTGAAAACTCAAACTTGTAAAACATGTTTATGTTGTTTTGGGTGAAGAAAGAATTTTTAAAAACCTTCCATGTTCTTCCTCTTCTCCAGGCTCCAGGGATAAATACTCGTCTTTATTACCCCAGGAGTAAATACTCGTCTTTATTACCCCGCAGAAGTAAATACTCGTCTTTATTACCCCAGGAGTAAATACTCGTCTTTATTACCCCACAGAGTAATACTCGTTTATTAACAAAGTAAATATCGTCTTTATTACCCACAAGAGTAAATACTCGTCTTTATTACCCCAGGAGTAAATACTCGTCTTATTACCCCAGAGTAAATACTCGTCTTTATTACCCCAGGAGTAAATACTCGTCTTTATTACCCCAGGAGTAAATACTTTATTACCCCACAGAAGTAAAATACTCGTCTTTATTACCCCAGGAGTAAATATTCGTCCTTTATTTACCCCACAGAAGTAAATACTCGTCTTTATTACCCAGGAGTAAATACTCGTCTTTATTACCCCACAGAAGTAAAATACTCGTCTTTAATTACCCCAGGAGTAAATACTCGTCTTTATTACCCACAGAGTAAATACTCGTCTTTATTACCCCCAGGAGTAAATACTCGTCTTTTAATACCCACAGAAGTAAATACTCGTCTTTATTACCCCACAGAAGTAAATACTCGTCTTTACTCGTCTTTTACCCCAGGAGTAATATCGTCTTTATTACCCCACAGAAGTAAATACTCGTCTTTTATACCCAGGAGTAAAATACTCGTCTTTATTACCCACAGAAGTAAATACTCGTCTTTACTACCCCAGGAGTAAATACTCGTCTTTATTACCCACAGAAGTAAATACTCGTTTTATTACCCCGGAGTTAAATTACCCAACAGAAGTAAATACTCGTCTTTATTACCCCAGGAGTAAATACTCGTCTTTATTACCCCAGAAGTAAATATCGTCTTTATTACCCCAGGAGTAATACCCTTTATTACCCCGCAGAAGTAAATACTCGTCTTTATTACCCCACAGAAGTAAATACTCGTCTTTATTACCCCAGAGTAAATAGTTTTATTACCCCACAGAGTAAATACTCGTCTTTATTACCCCACAGAAGTAAATACTCGTCTTTATTACCCCAGGAGTAAATACTCGTCTTTATTACCCCCCAGAAGTAAATACTCGTCTTTATTACCCCACAGAAGTAAATACTCGTCTTTATTACCCCAGGAGTAAATACTCGTCTTTTATTACCCACAGAAGTAAATACTCGTTTTATTACCCAAAAGTAAAATACTCGTCTTTATTACCCCAGAAGTAATACTCGTCTTTTATTACCCCAGGAGTAAATACTCGTCTTTATTACCCCAGGAGTAAATACTCGTCTTTATTACCCCACGAAGTAATACTCGTCTTTAACCCCAGGAGTAAATACTCGTCTTTATTACCCCACAGAAGTAAATACTCGTCTTTATTACCAAGTAAATATTACCCAGGAGTAAATACTCGTCTTTATTACCCCACAGAAGTAAATACTCGTCTTTATTACCCCACAGAAGTAAATACTCGTCTTTATTACCCCACCCAGGAGTAAATACTCGTCTTTATTACCCCGCAGAAGTAAATACTCGTCTTTTATTACCCCACAGAAGTAAAATACTCGTCTTTATTACCCCAGGAGTAAATACTCGTCTTTATTACCCCACAGAAGTAAATACTCGTCTTTATTACCCCACAGAAGTAAATACTCGTCTTTATTACCCAGGAGTAAATACTCGTCTTTATTACCCCCAGAAGTAAATACTTTATTACCCCACAGAAGTAAATACTCGTCTTTATTACCCCAGGAGTAAATACTCGTCTTTATTACCCCACAGAAGTAAATACTCGTCTTTATTACCCCCAGAAGTAAATACTCGTCTTTATTACCCACAGAAGTAAATACTCGTCTTTATTACCCCACAGAAGTAAATACTCGTCTTTATTACCCCAGGAGTAAATACTCGTCTTATTACCCCACAGAAGTAAATACTCGTCTTTATTACCCCAGGAGTAAATACTCGTCTTTATTACCCCACAGAAGTAAATACTCGTCTTTATTACCCCACAGAAGTAAATACTCGTCTTTAATACCCCACAGAAGTAAATACTCGTCTTTATTACCCCACAGAAGTAAATACTCGTCTTTATTACCCCAGGAGTAAATACTCGTCTTTATTACCCCAGGAGTAAATACTCGTCTTTATTACCCCACAGAAGTAAATACTCGTCTTTATTACCCCAGGAGTAAATACTCGTCTTTATTACCCCACAGAAGTAAATACTCGTCTTTATTACCCCAGGAGTAAATACTCGTCTTTATTACCCCACAGAAGTAAATACTCGTCTTTATTACCCCACAGAAGTAAATACTCGTCTTTATTACCCCAGGAGTAAATACTCGTCTTTATTACCCCACAGAAGTAAATACTCGTCTTTATTACCCCAGGAGTAAATACTCGTCTTTATTACCCCACAGAAGTAAATACTCGTCTTTATTACCCCAGGAGTAAATACTCGTCTTTATTACCCCACAGAAGTAAATACTCGTCTTTATTACCCCAGGAGTAAATACTCGTTTATTACCCCAGGAGTAAATACTCGTCTTTATTACCCCAAGTTAAATACTCGTCTTTATTACCCCAGGAGTAAATACTCGTCTTTATTACCCACAGAAGTAAATACTCGTCTTTATTACCCACAGAAGTAAAATACTCGTCTTTATTACCCCAGGAGTAAATACTCGTCTTTATTACCCCACAGAAGTAAATACTCGTCTTTATTACCCCACAGAAGTAAATACTCGTCTTTAATACCCCACAGAAGTAAATACTCGTCTTTATTACCCCACAGAAGTAAATACTCGTCTTTATTACCCCACAGAAGTAAATACTCGTCTTTATTACCCCAGGAGTAAATACTCGTCTTTATTACCCCACAGAAGTAAAATACTCGTCTTTATTACCCACAGAAGTAAATACTCGTCTTTATTACCCCAGGAGTAAATACTCGTCTTTATTACCCCAGGAGTAAATACTCGTCTTTATTACCCCACAGAAGTAAATACTCGTCTTTTACCCCACAGAAGTAAATACTCGTCTTTATTACCCCAAGAGTAAATACTCGTCTTTATTACCCCACAGAAGTAAATACTCGTCTTTATTACCCCACAGAAGTAAATACTCGTCTTTATTACCCCAGGAGTAAATACTCGTCTTTTATTACCTCCACAGAAGTAAATACTCGTCTTTATTACCCCACAGAAGTAAATACTCGTCTTTATTACCCCAGGAGTAAATACTCGTCTTTATTACCCCACAAGTAAATACTCGTCTTTTATTACCCCACAGAGTAAATACTCGTCTTTATACCCCAGAAGTAATACTCGTCTTATTACCCACAGAAGTAAATACTCGTCTTTATTACCCCACAGAAGTAAATACTCGTCTTTTTACCCCACAGAAGTAAATACTCGTCTTTATTACCCCAGGAGTAAATACTCGTCTTTATTACCCCACAGAAGTAAATACTCGTCTTTATTACCCCGCAGAAGTAAATACTCGTCTTTATTACCCCACAGAAGTAAATACTCGTCTTTATTACCCCCCAGGAAGTAAATACTCGTCTTTATTACCCCACAGAAGTAAATACTCGTCTTTATTACCCCAGGAGTAAATACTCGTCTTTATTACCCCAGGAGTAAATACTCGTCTTTATTACCCCACAGAAGTAAATACTCGTCTTTATTACCCCACAGAAGTAAATACTCGTCTTTATTACCCCAGGAGTAAATACTCGTCTTTATTACCCCACAGAAGTAAATACTCGTCTTTATTACCCCAGGAGTAAATACTCGTCTTTATTACCCCACAGAAGTAAATACTCGTCTTTATTACCCCACAGAAGTAAATACTCGTCTTTATTACCCCAGGAGTAAATACTCGTCTTTATTACCCCACAGAAGTAAATACTCGTCTTTATTACCCCAGGAGTAAATACTCATCTTTATTACCCCAGGAGTAAATACTCGTCTTTATTACCCCACAGAAGTAAATACTCGTCTTTATTACCCCAGGAGTAAATACTCGTCTTTATTACCCCACAGAAGTAAATACTCGTCTTTATTACCCCACAGAAGTAAATACTCGTCTTTATTACCCCACAGAAGTAAATACTCGTCTTTATTACCCCAGGAGTAAATACTCGTCTTTATTACCCCAGGAGTAAATACTCGTCTTTATTACCCCAGGAGTAAATACTCGTCTTTATTACCCCAGGAGTAAATACTCCGTCTTCACCCGTCTGTTCTCTGGACACATTTGGGTTTTGTGACGTTTCAGTCGGTCTCAGTGTCTCTGGCGCAGCAGTGGTACCACTTTGCCCCGCCCCCTCGCCGCGCTCGGCCCCGCCCCTCTCGGACCGCC